GAACAGGTAAGTCTCCAACCCCGCGCCTGGCCTCACGCTATTTCCATCGATAGGATGAGCAAAATCGAATTGCCTGTTGGCCAGTGCATTGCTCATTCTATCGATGGAAAACTCTCTCCCTCTCTCTCTCTCTCTGTTTCTCTCTGTCTCTCTCTCGGCTAGCCACGTGGCGGGCCATTTTTCTTTTGTTTTTATCATAGGAGATGGCTATGGCGGGATCTTTGTCACGTTGTTTGGCGGAGGACGAGCGGGAGGAGGAGCAGGAGGAGCGGAAGGAGCGGGAGGAGGGATGGGAAAAGGAGCGGGAAAAGGAGGGGTCGGAGGAGGAGCGGGAGCAGGTGCGGGAGAAGGAGCGCGAGGGGAAATCCGAAGGGGCAGAGGAGCCGCGGGAGGAGGAGCTGGAGGAGCGGCAGGGGAAACGGGAAGGGGGTTAGGAGCGAGAGAAGGAGCACGAGGAGAAACGGGAAGGGGCGGAGGAGGCATGGGAGGAGGGATGGTAGAAGGGGCGGGAGGGGAAATGAGGAGGGGGTTAACGAACGTGTGGGAGGCGGAGGAGGGGGAGGAGATATAGGTGGAGGAGGAGAAGCGGGAGGAGCACGAGGACGAGCGGGAGGACGAGCGGGAGAAGGAGCTGCAGGAGGAACGGGGGAAAGAGCAGGGGAAGCAGCGGGAGAAGGAGAAGCAGCAGGGGGGAGAGCGGGAGGAGGAGGAGGAGAGGGAGGAGCAGCAGGAGAACGAGCGGGAGCGGGGCTATGGCGGGATCTTTGTCACGTTGTTTGGCGGAGGAGGAGCGGGAGGGGGAGGAGGAGGAGGAGGAGGAGGAGTGGAAGGAGTGGGAGGAGCGAGAGGAGGCGTGGGAGAAGGAGCGGGGAAGGAGCGGGAGCGGGAGCGGGGCTATGGCGCGGGAAGAGGAGCGGGAGGAGGGGGAGGAGGAGGGGGAGGAGGAACGGTGGGAAAAGCAGGAGAAGCAGCGGAAGGAGGACGTGCAGCAGGAGGAGCGGGAGGAGCAGCAACAGAGGGAGCGGGAGAAGGAGAGGGAGGAGGAGCGGGAGAAGCAGCGGGAGCGGGGCTATGGCGGGATCTTTGTCATGTTGTTTGGTGGAGGAGCGGGAGGAGGAGCGGGAGGAGGAGTGGGAGAAGGAGGGGGAGAAGGAGGGGGAGGGGATTGATGATGGGGTTGCATCTCACAGCCCCTTTCTCCATACTCTCCTTCTCATTTTGCACATTCGAAGGCTGCTCAGTTCATGCACACATGAAACTGT